ATTTCTCTCCAACTCTGGTGAACAATGGAAAATATAACAGAGACTATATCTAAATGTAGGTGAAAGAAAGGCAACGCTTCAATATTTAGCTCAAGACATAATAAACGTACATTTTATCTATAATTTTACCTCATTAATATTAACAACATGGTTTCCATGATGGCCTAGAAAAAGTTAAAAGCTAGCAAAAAAGCCAATTGGACATCTGATAAAACTGCCATGCCAGGAAAAATATATCAAAACGCAAACAGACCCTTGCTTAAATATTGATTAAATTCCCTTTACTGTTATCGTGTTACTATTATCTTCTAAAGGAAGCACTATTCATACGACATTGTACTAAAATAAGCAAAGACCAGGAAGACAAAGTGGAAAAGACAAAAAGAAACTCAATAGAGGAGAAAGATATTTGTTGATCAGGGTACGAACAAGAAGAAAAGGTCACAAGGTCTCACCAAAAGATAAACATGGAGATAAATCTACTCAACAAATGTTCAACAAAACTGAAATAGAATCTAAAATACTGAATATGCTCCTAACACATGGTGTTCTTGTGCAGTTTATTGCATCAATACATTAACAACACTGTCCAAGCAGACTTTACACTGTAACTTTGAAATATAATTAGCAAGCATTAGCTCAAGCACTGTGGGGTTTTTTGTTTTTTTTAAACTATCGCTAACACTTTAGAAATTTACTAACAGACTGAATCAACAACCTTAGCATTATTGGTTGCTTACAAGTGCTGAGTGTGTAAGCTAGCAGACTCTAAGACTTTGATCATTTACAAGTGCTAGCAGACTCTAAGACTTTGATCATTAAACCTAACTGATTACCACAGTAGAAATTGTAAACAACATTGTAACATGCTAGCCAAAGTAGCGAGCCGTGCCTGGAGAACAAACCGCGGCTTTGTTCAACCGTCAGAACAGAATGAACCCTGAAACTATAACTACTTTTCTGCGACCTCTAAAAATGCCTGACATGTAAAAGGCTGGACGGTCAAAGAGAAGTATCATGACACCAACATATTTTCCCATCCTGCATCTCAAACAGCAATTTACCAAATTACAGCCCGACTCTGAGTGGATGTGGTTTACAGAGACAGAGGGAGAGACAATTGTGGCATTTCTCTCATAGCCTCAGGCCTTTTTATTGACTTTTTGTCTGACTTTTATTTTCTATCCTAAATATGCACTAATAAAACTGACCAATGTATTACAAAAAAGCTCTCCTGGAAATCTCTGTGCGTCCATTTTGTTGTAAAAAAATGAATAAAGTGAAATGAAAGTTGAGCTTAATGACAGAAAAATCAAACTCAGAGCTGAAGCCAAAGCCAAATGCTGCACTCAATTACCTGTGAATCTTAACAACTAAAGAGAAGAAAGGAGCCACAGAACGGATCCTCAGGATTAGGAACTTATCTTTAACACTGCACGGCTTCCTGACTCTGCTCTACCCAAACACAGACGAAGGCTGCAGACGAAGGCTGCAGCGTGGTGGAAATGCTGAAGTCAGATTTTCAGCTCTTACTAAGAAAGAAGACCAATATCCCTGTCTTCTCCACGATGCCTTCACTGCTTCTCTGAGTGATCAGGTGTGTTTTTCTGGCCTGGCTGCGGGTTATCGTACTGAACTTCTGACTGCCCAACAGAACACAAACTGCATGACTGACCCACTGCAGCTGAAAGGTGACGGAGGTCTCACCATTACCGTCCTCCCTGCCTTTGGAGCAGCTCCTGCAAAAACAGCTTCTGGGTTTTGGTTTCTCCTTTCATGAAGTAAATACACAGATATTACATTTTTCTTCTACGAAGCCTGGAAATGATCAATTTTCTTTGAATCTTTCTATGTTGCTATGTGTGCCATTTGCAGTGTTCTACCCTGTTGAGGAAATAAAGCTGCAGCTGATATAAGCAACACCTTATAGTTAGTAAAAAAAAAAAAAAATCCAGCATTCTCAAATTCAGCCTTGATTGTATTTGAAGTATAAAATTAATTTCTCTCCATTGAAACATCAAACTCAATACATATACAGTATATATATAAATACAACTCTTTTTTGGTCCATGTACTGAGTTTTGATCAGAGAACAGACCAAAGTCATTTCCCAATCTCCTACTGGGAGTCTGATGGAGCCGATTGTTATTCTTTGATCCTCGTGTTCAATGCAGCTCTAACCACTGCTGTAAATGCCACAGTCAGACATTTACAGCAGCAGTTTTGTTCCACACACAAAAGTCCAGCACACACTATGATTAACCTTAGATTATAAGCACTCGGATTAAGGACCACACTGGGATTTGCAGCCAGCCAAAAAGCTTTGTCGCCTTCGAGGACATGCCTTGAGAAACAAAGTGCTCCATTGTAATATGGAGAGTTAACCATTATGGCCACAAAGAAATGGGACCTGCTGCTGGCAGGTCAGGCTTTCCAGACATTTTCCCAGTAGGTGTCAGTGTCATTCAAGAGCTGTTATCCCATTATAACTGGCTGCAAAAAAAGAAGAAAGAAATCAAAATCTTTCTGCCTGGTAGCAGCAAAGCATTGCTTTAGAAATTGTCAAATGTCTTTTTGTGAAAATACAGCCATTTGATTCAATTTTTTTTTTTTACTGATTTCCACTGCTGCTTTAAATATATTTCATAACATCGAAGCTAGTGAATGTAATTGAATTAATTCATTAGTCATTATGATACCAGATTTATATTCTTGCAAAATAAAAAAAACTGTTTAAAACACATTTTTACTCATTAGAGACTTTTTTTTCTTTTTTTACTGTTTCTTCAAGCTCTTTGTTTTTGAGATTTATTGTTTTTATGCTCGAGCCATATCTTCAACTGTGGAAGCCATGTTATAAACAACACTATGATCTATGGTCCAAAAAATAAATGTTAAATATGGCATGCAAGCCCTAGTGGTGGCAGCAGGATTCAGGACAAGTGACGGATGTAGCACAAATAATTAATGAATGAATTAAAAATAAAGATATGGATTTGGCTTGTTTAAAAATGCAAAACGACTTCATTCATTTTGGTTTATCATTCATCATGTTTACATGATTTTAAGGATAAATTCATTCATGGCAAAAAAATAAATAATTAAAAAATTAGAAATTTTAGGACCTGGATTTTTACTTTTGTGGACCCAGGTGGGCTGCACTCCACCGGTTGATTTAGAACATGGAGTTTTCTTGGTGAAAAATGAATTGACAAGTTTAAACATAATTTTAACTATGTCAAAAAAGTTCATTCTAAACCACATGATTCTGCTTCTCTGCCACTAAATGTTCGTTACAGTGTTTCCACCGTATCCTCTTGTTCCACCATTTGTTCCAGCCAATCAGAAAAACACTCACGAAGAAGTGCAAACATTTTAAATCAGATTCCATCGGGCTCCGACCCTCCGTCGTCAATGTCACTCTGCAGAGTACTACCAAGTTCCAAAGAGGCAGAAAATGTTTATTGCGCTAATTTTTTGTCAGCACTTCTGCCTGTCACAGCTTCCCAGATGTTGGTGACACACACACACACACACACATCCATCTGAATGTGCAAGCAATTTCAATGTAAGGCTGAATGAGCAGTGAAGGAGCTGTCAGAACCTGCTACCATGACTGTTCCAGCTGTGTCCATGAGAGGCATCACCAGCGCACATCGTACTGTACCTACGTTAACTTTTTAAATGTGAGCAAAATGTGGTGAACGCTAACATCAATGCACAAACCTGCAGTGCAATTATACATGTAAACTCAACATTGGGCTAATGTTAGCAGTGGTATCTGTGCTAGCAGCAACCAATGCTGTGTGGTAAGAAAACTTTCTGTTGCACAAAAACCTTTCACACTGGTCAATCGTCTCGTTCTTGACCACCATCACTGTGAACCAAACTGTTAAATTGGGCACTGACCTCACTCAATTCAGCCTGTTTATTTTTTTTCATGGCTGGGAAACAAGTTAATGGTGCACTACTGCCACCTACTGGGCTGGAGCATATGCATCAGCATCAATGTTGTTCCAACTGTTTTCTTTTTTGTGTCATTAATTTAATGAATTTAATGTAAATGTCACAGCACTAATATACGTTTATATTCACTTTCCCTTATTATCTTGTCATCATCAGCAGCAGCCCGGAAAAAACCCATCACAGCAAAGCCAGCAGTAATTAACACAAATATAAGGGAGATGAGAAGGAGGGAGGGATGGAGGGACAGATGGAGGGAGGGAGATGGAGATACAAAGACTTGACTTTTTAAATAAAAACAATTAGAAATTATTATTAGAAAAACCAGTGCGTTTAGAACAGCTTCACTTCATTCTCCTCCCGGACACAAACAGACAATGCAGCAGGAAAACAACGTCATTCACACTTTGAAGTTCCAATAAAAACCCTTAAATATCATCAGTCAGCCGAGTTAAACGCTGCGTCCGTTCAGCACACAGTAACAAACGGCTGACAAATATAATTTATGATGACAACAGATTTAACAGCAGAGGAAATTAAACAGCACTTCACACTTGACTTCCTCCACACACGAGCATCAATTACAGTGATTGACCAACATGGAAAAACAATACAAATACAATGGTTTATATTAAATGATAATTAAATGGTCGCAGCCGTTTATTGTTGCTCATTAGAAATAAAAGGAGAACCTGCAGTCCGGCAGGTTCACACCCACTGTTCCACCACACAGGGAAGAGAAAGGAATAATTCAACTCATAAAAACACCTTAGTTTTAAATTCAGGGAACGGAGGGTGACGTATAGACGAGGTAATTAAGTTTCAGGCTTTCGTCTTTTCTTTTTTTTTTCTTTCTCTCTCTCTCTCTCTCTTTTTTTTTTTTTTTTACTGAAATAGCGCAGCTCCGCATCCGCGTCAACCACTGACCACATCACACAAGAACAACTTCTGAGCGTCACACAAACACAGACAGTTCAGTTATAAACACACGGAGTCATGACATGTTCTGGACAACGACGTTAGTATGAACCACTGACCGTAACTGTGAGGAGAGCAGCGCCGGCGGAGACACTAACTCACCGCCCGTGAGATGCTGTGGGTGCGCGTCGCTGACCAACGGTGAATCCAGAGGAGACCGCGAGACTGACTGACTGTCTGCTCCCTCTCTCCCCTGTCCCTCTCTCCACCCCGTCCTCTCTCTCCTCCACTCCCCCTTCCTCGGTCCCTCAACCCACTCCTCCTCGTCCTCCTCCCCGGTCGCCTCCCACCACCTGCGCACCCGCACCAAATCAACAAATTGAGGAGTTGAATCGGCTCCTGATTGGTCAAAAG